CCCATCTGTGCAACAATTTTCTCATCTGTAAAGAGGGGTGAATGTGAGGATTGAGTGAAGCAATACAAGTAAATTGCTTAGAGAAGTGTCTGCCACTCAGAAGCACTCAATATATTTCTCGGCAGTGCTGATCACATTGCTGTTCCTGGAATGCCTTCTCGGCAGTTGTTTAATCTTGAGACACACACATGCACACATCCTGAAATGCCAGATACATGGCTCACGCCTGTAATCCCAGAACCTTGGGAGGCCAAGGAGGGAAGATTGCTTGAGCCCAAGAGTTCCCAACCACGCTGGGCAACATGGTGAGACCCCGTCTCTACAAAAAATACAAAAATTACCAGGGTGTAGTGACATGTGCCTGTAGTCCCAGCCACTTGGGAAGCTGAGGCACGTGGATCGCTTGAACCCTGGAGGCAGAGGTTGCAGTGAGCCATGATTACGCCACTGCACTCCAGCCTGGATGACAGGGCGAGACACTGCCTCAATTTAAAAAAAAAAAAAAAATGCCTGATACAGAAACTTACTTTTAAAGAACACTCATTTGGAACCAGAACGGGGTGGCTCACACCTGTAATCCCAGCACTTTGGGAGGCCAAGGCAGGCTGATTACCTCAGATCAGGAGTTCAAGACCAGCCTGGCCAACATGGTGAAACCCCATCGCTACTAAAAATACAAAAATTAGCCAGGCGTGGTGTGCGCCTGTAATCCCAGCTACTTGGGAGGCTGAGGCAGGAGAATCTCCTGAACCCGGGATTTGGAGGTTGCAGTGAGCCAAGATCGTGTCACTGCACTCTAGCCTGGGCAACAGAACAAGATTCTGTCAAAAAAACAAACAAACAAGACAACATTCATTTGGATGTAGCCCCCTCCCCCTTCCTGGGAGTCGCAAGGGCAGCAGGCCACTTCACTGCTAGAGATGTCCAGCAGGGAAGTGCCCTTGAACAGGAGCCTGGCCTTCACCACTTACTAGCTGGGTGGCCTCAGGCAACACGCTCCCTTCTATGCACCTCTTCTTCAACATCTGTGAGGGCGATGATCATGGTACTTGCCTCCTAGGTGGTTGTGGGGATGAAATGAATCATGCCTGTAAGTGCTTAGCACAGACCCTATAAAAGATGCCCAGTGAGAGCCACACCCAAACTCCTCTCCCTGTTCTTCAACATCTTCAGAAACCGGCCCTTCCTCTCCGTGTTTCTCCCTAGCCTGGCTCCACCCGTCTCAGGCAAAGCAGCCTGTGTCTTGCTCACATTCATTCCATGGCCCTTCCCAACCTGCTCAAGCCAGTGGCTTCCCTTCTGCTTTTGGCAGACATTGACACCTGGCCTTGACATCACTGCTTGAACCTCTTCGTCTGGGGGGAAATGGATAGGATATTTGTAATATGATTACAGATTGTCGTAACCAACAGGAAAAACAAGATCAGGGCTATGAGAGAGAGTGACAGGGTGGCTGTAGCTCAGGTTGAGCGGTCAAGGTAGCTGAGATGCAAAGGGTAGGGAAGAGCCAGTATGGGGGGCCGAGGGGCATGGAAAGTGTTGCTAGCAGAGGGAGCAGCATGCAAGACCTTCAGACAGGAGAGAGCCCAGCCTCTTTTACCCTCAAAACAGACTCAAAGCTCTGCTTTTTCAGAGGCCTCCCAGGACTGACTCAGTGTCTATCAATTATCTTGTATCTCTTTGGTATTTTCAGGACCCCCATCCAAGCAAACCCAGCAAGAAAATGTGCCTGAAAAATAGTCAATCAGCCGGGCGATGGCTAGGCACGGTGGTTCACACCTATAATCCCAACACTTTGGGAGGCCGAGGCGGGCGGATCACCTGAAGTCAGGAGTTCGGGACCAGCCTGGCCAACATGGTGAAACCCCATCTCTACTGAAAATACAAAAATTTAGCTGGGTGTGGTGGCACACGCCTGTAAGGGAGGCTGAGGCAGGAGAATTGCTTGAGCCCGGGAGGCAGAGGTTGCAGTGAGCTGATATCACCCACTGCAATCCAGCCTGGATGACAGAGTGAGACCTGTCTCCAAAAAAAAAAAAAAATATATATATATATATACACACACATATGTATACATATAGGTATGTATATATTTTTTAAATAAAAATAAATAAAGTCAATGAAAGCTTTTATTTCACAAAAGAGTCCCTTCAATTTTGCCTTTTCAAAAGCCGCCACTGTAGGATTCCTTTAAGTAGAGCCTCCTCCAATACCTGTGAAACGAAGTCCAGCACAGAGCAGACCCTCACTCAGTATGTGACATGAATGGAAGGTTCTATTTACATCAGTGCAGCAAGCAGGTGGGTGCCGTGGCTCACACCTGTATTCCCAGCACTTTGGGAGGCTGAGGCGGAAGGATTGCCTGAGCTCAGGAGTTCAGGACCAGCCTGGGCAACATAATGAGACCCCCATCTCTACAAAAAAAAATTTAAAAATTAGCCAGGCATGGTGGTGTGTGCTTGTAGTCCCAGCTACTTGAGAGGCTGAAGTGGGAGGATTCCTTGAGCCCAGGAGATTGAGGCTGCAGTTAGCCGTGACCCTGCTACTGAACTTCAGCCTGAACAACAGACCAAGACTCTGTCTCAAAAAATAAAGAAGACAAAATGCAGCAAACATAATGTTTACAGTTTACTTTGAAATACATCAAAAATGTTTGATATGGGGCTAAATGGACAGATGCGTGATCAAGCAAGTATGGTAAAATCTAAGTGGTGAGAATGTTGGTGTTCACTATAAAACTCATCTTTTCATGATGTTTGAAATGTTTTCAAAATAAAATATCGCAGGGGGAGGGAAGGAGCATATGTAATGAAATTATGGTATTCCACAGAATAAGGGAAAATGCAGTGACTATAAAGTGAGGAACCTCACGTTTTTTTGCACAAATGTAGGCCCCTCCCCTTGCCAGTCATTGAGCTCTTATTGATGCGTGGCTTTGTGTGTTTGCATTCACATTCTGTTTACAGGCCTTGCCTCCCAGGAAAGCTGTGAATTCCCCAAGGGCAAGAACACTGTCTCTTAGTTCCAGTCCCCCACTGATGGAATTTTGGAGCTGGAAGCAACAGTTGTGGAATCCCTGCCTCCGGGAAATACGCTGCCTTCAGGCATCTTGCTCCTGGTTGGAACGCAAGTCTCCCAGCGCCCAGGCTAGTGCCTGGGAGGGTTACAGAGACTTCACGGGGAACCATGAGAAGTCAGGTGCTGGCGATAGATGGAGCCAGACCCAGGCCTGCTGTTTTCTCTGTGGGTGCCCTCGTCCCACGGAGCTGCAGCGTCCTCATCCATACAGTGTTGATGAGAAGAGGGCTTCTGCCTTTGGGTTGTGGGAGACTTAAAGAACATGAACGGGCCAGATGAAGTGGCCTTGCCTGTAATCCCACCACTTCGGGAGGCCAAGGCGGGAGAATCCCCTGAGCCCAGGAGTTTGAGAACAGCCTGGGCAATATAGTGAGGCCCTGTTTTTTGTTGTTGTTGTTGTTGTTGTTGTTTTTGAGACGGAGTCTCGCCTTGTCGTTCAGGCTGGAGTGCAGAGGCACAATCTCAGCTCACTGCAACCTCCATTTTCCAGGTTCAAGTGATTCTCCTGCCTCAACCTCCTGAGTAGCTGGGATTACAGGCACCCACCACCACACCCAGCTAATTTTTTTTTTTTTTTTTTTGTATTTTTAGTAGAGACAGGATTTCACCATGTTGGTCAGGCTAGTCTTGAACTCTCGACCTCGTGATCCGCCAGCTTTGGCCTCCCAAAGTACTGGGATTATAGGCATGAGCCACTGCACCCGGCCAAAAAAATAATTTTTAATTAGCCAAGTGTGGTGGTGCGTGCCTATAGTTCCAGCTACTCAAGAGGCTGAGGCGGGAGACTCCCTTGAGCCCAGGTTTGAGAACAGCCTGGGCAATATAGTGAGACTAGTGAGACCCCCTCTCTAAAAAAAAAAAAAAAAAAAAAAAAAAAAAAAAAAAAAATTTAATTAGCTGAATGTGGTGGCGCGTGCCTGTAGTAGTTCCAGCTACTCAGGAGGCTGAGGTGGGAGGATTGCTTGAGCCAAGGAGGTCGAGGCTGCAGTGAGCCATGATCGCATCTCTGCACTCCAGCCTGGACGAAAGAGCAAGACTCTGTCTCAAAAACAAAAAAAAAGAGAGAGAGAATATGAACACCTCTGTAGCTGGTACCTTGAGTCTAGCAAGTGCTCTATACTCAGTAATTGTAATCGTTGTTCCTCTGGGCTTTGAATGGTGCACAGATCTGAAAATGGGGCCTTCTGTGCCCCCACTCGGTGGCTCCTGTCACCAACATGTCTTCCACCTGAGCCTTCCATCCCTCCCCCTCCTTCCCCTGAGAGGATCCCCGGCCCCATCCCGTGTCTCACTTTTCCTGTTCACCGATTCCCCCTCTCCGCTGCTGCCAAAGGGCAAAGACCTCTGTTTTTCCAGAATATCCTTTGTAGCTCTTCACTGTCTCTCTCCCTCCACTCACTGACTGTGTAAACTTGGTCATGTTTCTTAATGTGTGCAAGCCCCCACGTGCTTCTCTATAAAATGGGGCAATAACAGTCCCTTTCACCTAACTGGGTGGTTGGGAGGAGTCAATGATGTCATGCAGGTAACGCGCCTGGCAGGCAGCCTGGCATGTCTTAACTGCACAATAAATACAAGTTATTGTTGTTATTCTTTTGGCGCCCCACCCCCTTGACTGAGGATGCTACCTCCTGGACCCAGACCATTCTCTCCCGGTGTGTCTGTCCCCACCAGTGGCCGGCAGTGCTTTTCCCTGCACGAGTCCTCCTGCCATTAGCCAGCACGAACTTTGCACCCCAGTAAAGTGTAGTTTGCCCCCATTACCTGCCCTTTTACGGCTGATCAGCCTGAAATCTCCAGCCCAACCCCCCTGTGCATCAGACACCCTGACTCCTTCAGCAAAGTAACAAGAAAAGACAAGCCCCTCCCGCCTCCCTCTCCATCCCTCCTTAGGGAGCCCAGGGGACCACGATGAGACAGCATAGTGTATCGAGTTTATTCACAAATCCCAGTACAACCCCCTTCAGGGACTCCAGAAACCTGTCCCCCACCCCCAGCCCCTCCAGGTCATGTCAGCTGATGTGACAACGGCAACATTAGTCTCCCAGCAAGGGCAGGTGCCCATTTAGGGCATGATGTTGGCGACGCTCTGGAAGAGAGAAGGAGAGCAGGGTGAATGCTGGGTCTACAGTCATGACGAGGGCCTCAGCCCCACCCCTCAGGAGAAGCGCAAGAGGCACTGGCTGCTCTGGCCCCGGAGTTAGGTTCTGAGGAACAGCTTCAGGAAGGCAGCAACTAAACTTAAGAACATGAGGAAGCCAGCTCCCGCAGCCAGAGGGGCTGGGGCCTCTGCAGGAACAAGCAAGCCTCGTGTGTTTAGCCTCAGAGGATGCTCTGCAGCCCCCATAGCCCAGGATACACAAGGGTGGGCCTTCCTCCTCCGTAACACACCCTCACCCTGGCCTGCACCCGGTCTCAGGCAGCAGATATAATAAATGCAAAAAAAGCCTGGGCACAGTGGCTTATGCCTGTAATCCCAGCACTTTGGGAGGCCGAGGAAGGGGGGGGATCACTTGAGATCAGGAGTTCGAGACCAGCCTGGCCGATATGGTGAAATCCCCGTCTCTACTAAAAATACAAAAATTAGCTGGGCATGTTGGCGCACACCTGTAATCCCAGCTACTCAGGAGGCTGAGATAGGAGAATCACTTGAACCCAGGAGGTGGACGGGTATGCATCCAGCTGGAGATGAGACTCTGTCCAAAATTAAAAAAAAAAGCGGCCTGGCCACTCCAGCCTTGGAGCGGACGATAGAGTAGATGAGACTCCTCAACTGGTAACTTCATAAAAAATACAAAAAGTAGGGGGGGGGGGCGGTAGCCAGCTATCGGAGGAGGGGGATGGCGAAACCTGGGAGGGGATGAGTGAGAAGGATGACAGTGGCGGCAGGAGGTTACTTTGAGCCCCAAGTGGGAACAAGGATTCCACAGGAGCCTCTACACTGGGGTGACCTTGCACCAGGGAGAGGACAAAGCCACAGGCTCCTCCTCTCAGCATGAAGCAAAGGCATTTGCAGCAGGGTGGGGGGACAGGAGGGAAGTCAGTCAGGAACGAGGACAGGGAGAGAGAGGGAATGAGAACAGTCAGCAGCCCCTCCCCACTCCCTGGCTCCCAGGGGCACCAGGGCCCTGGAGGTCTTCTCTGCCAGCTTGTGTTTGCCTTGGTGGAAATGAAAAGCACCCAAAAGATGAGGGCAGGGTGCAAAGGGGAGAGAGCGGGTGGAGAGAGGAAAGCCCAGGACTGGGTATCAGGTTGGAGGGTCCAACAGACACTGGGAAGGGATCAGGGTGAGAGTGTCTATCAGGACGCAGAGCAGAAAGGAGACACGGTGTGGCACTCACCCTCCACAGAGCGGGAAGGTTGATGAAAGGCGTGTTGACCGAGGCCTGCAATCCAAGGACAAGAAGGTCAGTTTCCAGTGTCCGACCCACAGCCATGCTAGGGAACTCCCAGGGGCCTTCTCTCCCCTACCCCGGAGTCCGCACTTACCCCAGAGGCTAACGGCGTGGTTGTGGCCCCTCCTTGATGGCCGGAAGATCCGCTTTGATGGTTGCCCTGTGGACAAAGCCCAGACTCTTGTTACAAACCCTTAATCCTGGGGGTCTCCCAGTTCCCTTTCCCCAGTGACCTGGTCCCCTCCAGGGTGACTGGGGCTGGAGTGGGAGGCACAGCTTAACCCACTGCCTCCTCACTATCCAGAAGAAAACCCAAAGCCTGTGCTCCCGTGGGCATTCTGCCTCCTGCTACCTTTTCCTCCCCAAAGCCCCTTTTAATTTCCTTAACGAAGTGCCCTCAGTCACGGAGGAGGGGCTGGTGGAAAGGGAAGGTAGAGGACCCATGCCATTAGCAGGACCTAGTCTCACCTCAGCCCTGACCTCACATCTACCCTTCTATGCCCTGTCTAGCTGCATCCCTAACTCCACTGATCCTCGTCCTTAACCCAGCCCCAGACACTCAGCCATGCACCCCAGCAGCGCCCCCAACCCCGGTTGCTGTTGCGAGCCCCAACTCCCACAGTGCACCTCTGCTCGCGGCACCCTGCAGCCTGCCGCGCCCACTCCTCTACTGCACCGTTCCTCCCCACCCTGGCTCTGTCTGGCGGCAGATGCGGCTCTGGGCTTTGAGTTCGGAGCCAGTCACATCTTGCAGATCCCAGGACCCCTCATGGAGCCTGGAAAGTGAGGGCGCACAGGAGTCCACCCTCTCCTGCTCCCCACGCTCCCTTCTTGGTGTCTGTTCTGTTGTGAGTGGCGCTATTTGCCTGCCTCCAGTCTCTGTTCCCTCTACATATTTTATTTTATTATTATTATTTTTTGAGACAGAGTCTCACTCTGTTGCCCAGGCTGGGGTGCAATGGCACGATCTTGGCTCACTGCAACCTCCGATTCCCAGGTTCAAGGGATTCTCCTGCCTCAGCCTCCTGAGTAGCTGGGATTAGAGGCGCCCGCCACCACACCCGGCTAATTTTTGTATTTTTAGTAGAGACGGGGTTTCACCATGTTGGCCAGGCTTGCTCTTGAACTCCTGACCTCAAGCGATCCGCCTGTCTCGGCCTCCCAAAGTGCTGGGATTACAGGCATGAGCCACTGAACCCAGCTTCTGTTCCCTCTGCATAAATGGGTGAGAGAAACCTTCCAGAAAAACTCTCCTGGCTGGGCAGTGTAGGGGAAGAAAACACTGGCCTGCCCTCCGCCAAAGCTGGGCACTAGCCACAGGACCTTGGCACGTCCCCTAACTTCTCTGAGCCTTTGTTTCCTTATCTGAGAATCAGGGCGCCAGCAGCCTCATCTTGACCACATCAGAGGGTAGTTACAAAGATTGCACAGGCCAAGGCTCATCTGCAAAAGCTGTTCCTCATGCTCACTCTCCTCACCAGGTTTTCTCAACACTCAATGCCTTTGCAGTGAGTGCCTATACTAGATCTTGATCTCAGGAACTGTTTCCCATTCCCCAGGAGGGGCTTCACGGTCCCCACTTGAGGCCCCCTTAACCAGGAGTGCCCACCACCCTGTCTGATACATGCTTTGCAGATAAGGTGGCTCACCCTATCTGACCAGCTACCACCAGCTCCTTTGTAAGGGAGATGGGGAAAGGGGAGAAGCACAGTGATACAGCTGCCCAAGCTTCTTTCACCAAACGAAGACTACATGGACCCCCCCAAATGTCCCAGGGGTTTAACCTTTCCCTCCCCCAACCCCCATGTCCCCCATTTCCCCATCCCTGTTCACCTACATTCAGCAGCTGGTTGGCCTCCTTGCTGGCTTGGTTGACCCCACTATGAGCATTCTGCGGCTCCTTCCCGGCCTGGCCAGCAGCATGGTGGGCACCTTGGCCAAGCTTCTCCACTTCCTTTCCAGCCTGGTCAGCAGCATGGTTGACCCCTTGACCAAGTTTCTCTGCTTCCTTCCCAGCCTGGTGGACCCCAGTGTGGAACCCTTGGACCGCTTTGTCTGCTTCTTTTCCGGCCTGTTCAAGGGTATGGTGAACTCCCTGGCCAAACTGCTCTGCCTCCTTCCCAGCCTCGTGAACCCCGGTGTGGAACCCTTGGACCGCTTTGTCTGCTTCCTTTCCGGCCTGGTCAGCAGCATGGTTGACCCCTTGGCCAAGTTTCTCTGCTTCCTTCCCAGCCTGGTGGACCCCAGTGTGGAACCCTTGGACCGCTTTATCTGCTTCCTTTCCGGCCTGTTCAAGGGTGTGGTGAACTCCCTGGCCAAATTGCCCAGCCTCCCTCCCGGCCTCATGGACCCCGGGTTGGACACCGTGGACTGCTATGTCTCCCTCTTTCCCAGCCTGCCCTGCTGCATAGTGAATGTCGTGGCCAAACTGCCCCGCCTCCCTTCCAGCCTGACTAATGCCATGATGGAGGCCTTGGACCGCTCCGTCTCCCTCCTTCCCCACCTGCGAGGCAGCATGGTGGACTCCCTGGCCAAACTTCTCTGCTTCCTTCCAGGCCTCATTAACCCCATGGTGGATCCCATGGCCGAGCTTCTCTGTTTCCTTCCCAAACTGACTGGCAGCATGGTGGACCCCCTGGCCTAACTTCTCTGCCTCCTTCCCAACCTGACCAGCAGTATGGTGGATTCCCTGGCCAAACTTCTCTGTCTCCTTCCAGCCCTCACTGAGTCCATGATGGACCCCCTGGCCAAACCTCCCTGCCTCATTTCCCGCCTGCCCTGCAGCATGGTGGATACCCTGGCCAAACCTCCCTGCCTCATTTCCGGCCTGCCCCACAGCGTGGTGGGCCCCCTGGCCAAACCTCCCAGCCTCATTTCCGGCCTGCCCCGCAGCATGGTGGGCCCCCTGGCCAAACTTCTCTGCCTCCTTCCCAACCTGACCAGCAGCATGGCCCCTGGCCAAACTTCTCTGCCTCCTTCCCAACCTGACCAGCAGCATGGTGGGCCCCCTGGCCAAACTTCTCTGCCTCTTTCCCAACCTGACCAGCAGCATGGTGGGCCCCCTGGCCAAACTTCTCTGCCTCCTTCCCAACCTGACCAGCAGCATGATGGGCCCCCTGGCCAAACTTCTCTGCCTCCTTCCCAACCTGACCAGCAGCATGGTGGATCCCCTGGCCAAACTTCTCTGCCTCCTTCCCAACCTGACCAGCAGTATGGTGGATCCCCTGGCCAAACTTCTCTGTTTCCTTCCAGCCCTCACTGAGACCATGGTGGGCCCCCTGGCCAAACCTCCCTGCCTCGTTTCCTGCCTGCCCTGCAGCATGATGGATACCCTGGCCAAACCTCCCAGCCTCATTTCCAGCCTGCCCCGCAGCATGGTGGGCCCCCTGGCCAAACCTCCCTGCCTCACTTCCCGCCTGGTTGGCCCCGTGATGGACCCCATGGTGGATCAGTTTGTCTGCCTCCTTCCCAACCTGTCCAGCAGCGTTGTTGACCCCATGGCCAAACTTCTCTGCTTCCTTTCCTGCTTGTCCAATACCATGGTTGATCTCATGGGCTACCTTGTCCATTCCGTGGTTGAGCCCCTGGACGCCTTTGTCCAACTCCTTGCCGGTGTGGCTCCCCATGTTGCTAAGTCCGTTGAAAACCTTCTCCACTTCCCTTCCAGCGTGCGTGATTCCACTGTTGATGCCATCCAGGGCCTTGCCCACCTCTCTCTCTGCATTGCTCAGCCCTCGGTTGATCCCTTCAATGACCTTCTCAATGGGGTCATCGCTGGCCGCCCATCCAGGCAGGGCCCCCAGTAGCAGAAGGAGGGAGCAGGAGCTGACCAGATGTGCAAGATGCATATTGCTGGGAAGGTCGGGGAGGATGCAGAGAGGAGCCTGGGAAGCCACACTGCTATTTATTCTCTCTCCCTCTAGCCCTCTTCTCCACCCCTCATGACTCAATTACCTCTGTGAGGCACTGACTTGGTCCTCAGTCAAGGAGGTGTTTCCCAGGGAGATTTGGAGTTGAGCAATGGAGAGGAGGAGGAAGAGAGGGTGAGTCATGGATGGAGAAGAACTCTGGCATCTTTGCTTCTTGCCCTCCACCCCAGAGATGGGTGTCTGCCCTTCCAACCACCTCCTCTTTTCATTCCTCACCCACTGTCCAGGACTCCTCTCTCTCAAACCCACCTTCCACCACTCTCTGTCCCTGGGATGCAGGGGATTCCTCAACACCTCACTCCTCTCAGGCATCTAAGCCTCCAGCTCCCCCAGCAGTGAGGGGCTACAATGATGGGAGGCACCGTCTGGAGAGGGAAGAACCCTAGGGGGTTTGAGGGAGTCATCAGACCTCATTCTTGTGGGCCGGCCCCTGCCCTTCACTCATTCCATTCCAGCCACACAGGCCTTCTCCCTGTTCCACAAACACACCAAGCTCATTCTTGCTGCAGGGCCTTTGCACATGCTCCTCTCTCTGCCTGGAATGCAGAACCCAGATCTTTACATGGCTGGCTCCTCCTCATCCATACTTGACTTAAATGCCAACTTTGAAAGAAAACCTCCCCTGACCATAACATGACATTAATTATACTCTGTAGTATCACCCTTTTGTTTTCACAGCAAAAAAAAAAAAAAAAAAAATTCTGAAATTATCTTTATTTTTTATTGCTTGTCTCACCTACTAGGAATGTAAATTGGTCATGTTGGTCACTGCTGTATTCATAGCTTCTTGAACACTGCCTGGGGTTCAGTCAATATTTATTGACTGGACAAATGGATAGATTCAAGGAAGCCAAAGGAAGAGACTCCAAGCCCAAGTCTGGGTTTCACAGGGTGCTGGAGGGAAGGGCGCCTGGGTCGCCAGGACAGCATAGGGTCTCTTGGGGAGTGTTGCGGATTTTGGAGGCGGGATCCCATTCCTGTCACAGAACCCAGACCGCCTGCCTCCCAGCCCTTGGGCAAGGGCAGGGGGCTGATTGCCATGAGCTGGAACAGGACGCAGTGTCTCCTGAAAAGCCGGTCGAGGCAGCCACGGGGAGGGGCCGAAGACCCGGGGCAGCAGGAGCCTGTGAGACAGAACCTGGGCTGGGGCCAGGCGCTCATCCTTCCTGCCCTCCCCGCATGGGCCCTCCTAAGCCCCAACCTGAAGCTCCAAGCGTTGACATTTTGGCTC